TAAGAATTGTATCCTTCTAAACAACCGTGTAATATAATGTTTTCTTCATTTAATATTTCCTCACACATTCCACACATTTGAACAAATTCATTATCCTAAAAATTATTATTATTATTATTTATTGAATTACAATATTAATTATATGTAATTAACATCTGCATATATTAATAATGCTTTTTTTAATATTGCGCATATTCTCTTTAACAGATAATTTTAGTTGTATTATGATGATAGGGATATTGATTCTCATTCAACGGAACATGCATTATATATATGTATGTAAAGGGTACTAAAATTATAAACATATTCTGTTACACAAGGGTGATGGAAAGATTTCATTAAAAAACCAAAAATTAGAATAAAAATGATATAATATATAACGAAGTGTTGTGAAAACAATTTGCCATGTGCGTGTGTTTTACATACATGTTACTTATATTCATACAATATATATACATAAATATATATACAAATTAATTCAAAATATAATCTGTTCCATAAATACCGTACGGATGTAAAGCTTCAGTCATTTTGATTTTTAAGTATTGACATTTACATAATTAGCATTCAGAATATTTGGTAGACATTATCTGACCTGTATATAGCATTCAAAAAATATATGTATTATATTCCCGTTAAAACAGTCTTACGAATCACAAGAGAAAATAATACAATTCTCAATATAAATATATAAATTCAACATTTGGTATTGTAAAAAAATATTTGATATATTACATTATAATTCGTTGATTTTACTAAATAATGTATAATTCTGTGGCTAAAAATCACTATCACACAGCACAAGTTCGTTCGTGCTTCTAGTCACACGTGTTAAGTTATATCAGCCAAATTTGTATTCTAAAAAGTGCTACAAGATTTTTATTTCACTACGATAATGTCGACGATCCGCGGAACGCCGCAGTCCAATTAAAACAGCAGCAGTGGCAGCAAACATTAATGGTTATTGACATTAATTTTTTTTTGTCAATTTGATAAAAACAACTTGACGCACAAAGCGGGATATTAGTGAGGCGGTTGTATGAGTGATGTCTGTGCACGCAAAGTCATACCAGTCACATCTTCTGTATAGTGGAATGAGAAAAGAATAAGAGAATATTAGATATAACAATATAATTCGTAAATAATAGATTCTATGTAGCATTAAATAAACATAATGTGCTCGAAATTAATATAAGCTGATAATTATATTTAATACAAGTACCTTCCAAGTTATTGGCAAGATTCCAATTAACGAATTCAAAAACAAAATATTCAACAAAAACTGAAATAAATGGCAAAACTGAACGTCGCGAGAAATCATATATAAACTGTTAGTGCAAGCTTTGAAATACTTGTGAATAACTTGTGAATATCTATTTTTTTGGAGATGACACATGCTACTTTTCCTTGTAAGAAATAAGAAAGATAATTCAAGTACTTTTATTCGTAAATATACGTCTCGGTACATCACGTAATGATAATCTTCATCAAACAGACTTGATATCGAATCAACACAATCATATGTTTAATATCAATATATTTTGTCTACGCTACAAAATGTTCTTAAAGTATCTAATTTTTAGTAATAAACATATATATTTCGAAGACAACACTCTGAGTATTATACATTATATATACATACATATATAATGGATAAAAAGAATCAATTAGAAAAAATGCTGTCGAAAAATATTAAATATTATCAATATATTAATAAATAATAAGTTTGTTACTTTCATCGATAATATCAGCAAATAGAGATTTCATTAAGTATTATAACATTATATAAGCATTTAAAACGTAACATGTACAATATTAAGTATTATTTAGCGACTAGTTAAGAAAATATGGTTTCAACATATATAACAATGTTGTGATTTTATTTCTGAAATCATTTTTGAACCGTCAAAATCTTTTTCTCGACTGGTAGTATTGTCTATATCCGTGGGAGAAGGCATAGCAATATCGAAAGTAAATATATGTCTGTATATCTGCAAGCTTATCTAAAAGCGTATTTAAAAATAGATGTCAAAGCTCCATTGTTATACGGATTGGTACCGTGTATACGGGTTATAGTAGGGTTATTAATGAGATTGCAAAGCATTTCCACTCGACCTATCCTTAAGAAACTTAAAAATAAAGAGCTCTATAGAAATTTATGAAAATAATTCTTCTTCCATACCGAGATGCTTCAGAAACACCCCCATCGGCGTACGTTTCAAGCCAATGCCCTCGATTTTATTGGCAATCCTGTTTTTGATATTCCTTAATCTCAACGAGGCGTGTATAAAGGTCACTGAAAGTATTGATTACACAATGAATGTTAGAATGAAATCTGGCACTTCCACATTTTGTTCAAGAAATAAGATCAACAAAATTAATAATGATATGAAGTACTGTCAAACGCCACGGCTTACCGCAGATAGGTAACAGAATGCCCAGAAAGAAAACTAGGAGAGATCCCAGAGTGTACGTTATGAAACATCCAGCGATTATTATAAACAGTACTCCAACCACGGGATATTGCCTTTTGAAGTTGTGTATCGTGCTCCCTTCCATGGATACGTAGGCGAACGTAGCCAAGATCGCCAGCATCGCCAGCATGCCCACCAGCATTTTGACAGGATGGATCAATCTATGAATAGGTACAGAGAATTCGTATAAATAAATTAACGGATACAAAACAGTACTGTACAAGGTATCATAAAAAGCGAGAACTTTAAAAAAACATTCATAATACATTAATTCAACAAACTCTAGTTAAACTATTGTATATCTGATAGAATTCCAAGATTCTAAAAAATTATATATAGTCTAGAAACGTGGCAAAGTCGAAAGTCTCGGAATCTTTTTCAAAAAAAGACTTGCAGATAAGAAAGTTCAAGAATCACTGCGTTGACACGACATACTCAATGTTCAGATTCAAAGACCGCTCACCCAACGATGAGGAAGATGACGACGGACGTAAACAAGTAGTTAGTCTGGTAGTACAGGAGATTGTTGACCACCCGGTTGCCCCACTTCTCCAGGTCCTTGAGATTCGGTAGTTGGAAGCGCGCCGACTCCAGCAGGAAGTCGTCCAGGCTGCGTAGCGGCGGCAGCTCCAGATCGTTGCTCACCAGCTTCGTCTTGTCCATGATCGTGGGCGGTCTCGAACTGTCCTCAATGTCGCTCGAACGGGATCGGCCGATCTCACCCCCTCGATCGTCGTTCCGCCGTCGACCGGTATTTTTGGACGATGACGACTCCGGTGACGAATGTCATGCGACGACGTGCCGACGATGCGGAGACTGTCGTCGGTCGGGAACGAATTAATTGGAGCGCTCGCCCACTGCTGCCTTTGTTGTCGCGGTCAGCGCACTGTCAGTGTCGTCAGCTCCGAGGAGAGGAGTCGCCGTTCGCTCGATCGTGTACAAACGCATATAAGACGTCAAACGGATCGCCGCCGATCGTCGTCAAAGTGCGCACACGACTGCAGTCTCTGCGAGGCGCACCCGTCAAGTGGATGTCGCCGATATCAGATGTTCGATATCGAAACACCGTTTAGTCAAGGCAGGAAAGTGTTTTATCGAGTGGGAGGACGACCTGCTTCCCCGCGACATTTAAAATAGAGTCTCTGAGAGACTTTCAATTGCATTTAATTTTTTTTTACATCGGAAGTTGAATAAATTGAATGAATAATTCAAATATATGAATAGGATGTATAAAATACAGATACACACGTGTAAAATAAATATTAAAAATGAACGAATAATGAGATATGCAAAATATTATAAATATGAAGATGGATGTACATCTATATATAAGGGAACACATGAATAAAATCTCCTTTTTAATAATTACATGCAATAAATAATTGTTTAATTAACGCGTATTATTATCCACAACAATTTATTACATTACAAATTTTTTGTTATTACAATTTTATTATACGATTGAAAGAAATCTCCGTTCGCATTTTGCCTAAATATTTGGCCATTACCTTTTGCAACATAATTAATCGATCCGTTTTTATGATTATAAATGTCATATTACATCGAAATAGCGGCGTGTGATAAATGATTTTGTAAAATGTCGGTATAATAATTATAACGGGACAGAAAATTAATCGAGATGCTTTCGATATTGAGATTGAGATATTGAGTGTGCAAATATAATGTTATTAACAGTTGAGCAACATCCAGCGCCGATAGGCATTTATCGGTCGATCCATCGCATAAATAAAGATTTTCCACTTTGCTAAGCAGGACCTGCATCTGATTTTTGCTAGGTTTTTATGGTTTTTCCTGAAAACATGTGAATGCAGGTTTCGATTTCGATATCAATCGTCATTTTTTGCTGTATATTTCTCGACGATTCAGTAAATTTAACTTACATGACGATGGTGCACGTGAGGCTCTTACAGTTTAAACATTTGTACAATCGTTTTCTCGGATACTGCTGGTGTCTTTCAGCCCTTTCCATCTTTGATATAAATTCTAAAACATACTGCAGTGCCTGTGTGTCACTCAATCTCGAAGTTAAAATTTATAAAGACGACATCGGATTAAATCGGAGATTAATTAAATAAACGTGGCATGTAATAATATAATAAGTAAGTACAGCGTACCTAATTGTTCAACACACAATTGTTTCAAGAATTAATCATCGTCTTTGTTTTAATTATAACAGCTGAACATCGAGAGATGCTTAATAATAATAAACGAAAAGAAGTTGCAAACAGAAATAGCGGTGCAACTTATTCTTATCAAAATCGCGAAACTTTATTTCTCGAAGACAGAAAGACAGTCGAATAACCGTTACCAATTTTTCATTACTTCAACAAATACTTAAACGATTGTCAGTACAAAGAATATTTTTGTAATAATTTTATAATGAATATCGTCCACAGTAACGTGCATTTCATGTTAAAAATAATTCAATATTTTTAAATTAAAAAGATATACATACCGATTGAATTATTCCGTGCTCCTCCTGCCAAGGATTATTCGTAACTGACTTTACACCAATATTCAGATCTGTTTTAATCCCGCACGAAGGATGATACTAATGTCACTTAAACTTAACGTCCGACGAATCGTTGTGATAAAATAAGTACAGAACCTCAGCGTAGGGGACGTTCAGGGTGCAAAAGTAAAATGTAAATAAATCATATTATATATTTCGCGAGGAATATTTTCGTGTATCTTGTTTACAAAATCAAACACGACACTTTTTTTGTTACAAAAGTCGAGCTAAAAACTTGACATACAGGCTGTTTAAAACAGACATACTAGACACTCATAGCAGTCGATCTTGATCGGTTCTTTTAATACAATAGCATATATATATAATCTCTGCGATTATACAAATTTATGAAAATTTAAATATTAATAACGCGCGACAATTTCTGCACCCTGTTGAGTAGAAGATCCCCCTGCTTCACCATCGCCTGATATTGCCAATTCTTGCTGTCCGGCCGATTCGTCTCGACTACGCCGCCGACTCGATCGACTTTGCAGTGTAATCGGCCCGCCGCTATGAAGCGTGACAGTTCCCTGGGAAAGTAACAAGTTCATTAGCAGATTTCTCTACGGGCAGCGCAGTTTCGTATGTTTCATTAAATAAATCACGCGTTAAGATTGCTAATTCGATAAAAGTTAGGAATAATCACTTACTGATCAATGTATTCCACTGTGACGCCAAATGCTTCAGCCATATACTGGAGGGTTAAAGACCGGTAGGACTCCAGCAATTGTGTATACGCGAGAATTCGCATCTCCCGGACGTAATATCGATAGTGAGGAAATATCAGGTAATCCCGGCGCAGCAGGCCTTCGACATGCGCTGAAAACGGCATTGCAATTAATTACAGAAACTCTCAAACATAAAGTAGAGAGATCTAATTCAAGCTATGCCCGTTGTACTTACCAAGATTCTTGAAGAAGTCCGCATAATGACAATTGTACAAGGAAAATAGATAATCCTTGACGTCTGGATTACTGTGAAGTACCTCCAGTATCTCGGATCCCTTGATGATCTTGTCCCTCAGTTCGTTCCGCGGGAGGCTTATCATGCTCAGGTATACCGTGTACCTCACAAACGTGTTATAATCCATGAGCTCGTAACTCGTAAATGTGCTAATTGTGTCCAGAAAGAAGTTCGCGGCCTCCTTGAAGTTGCGTACCGCTATGCAGTATATTCCTTGATAGACTTTCAAACGATTTCGTCTGTCCCAATCGCCGCCTTCTTCTATCAAGCTGCAAAGCACAAGCGAAATGTATTAATCATTACAAAGGACATGACAATCGATATGGGAATATCATCTCTTTGTTTCTCTACCCACCTCTTAGCTTTCTCGATATTTCTGGTGATGTGATCGTGATCCAGGTAGAACAAGCCGATCCTAATGTTATGAAATACAATATCTAATCTGTGCCCTAACGATACTGTCTTGTCGTAAGTTTTCCTAAACGCCGAGATTGCACCTTCCTTGTCGCCTACCCGACAGAGGTATTCGGACTTCTTTAGGTTAGCCTCCCGAACCTCCATCTCGCTCAGATTCTTCTCAGCATCCTCGATAGCGTCGTCGAGTTTCTTCAACTGTTCCGCATTGTGTGCCTTCATCGTTGCAAGAAACGCCTCGTCCACTGACCAATTCAGGTCCTTGCAGACCTCTTCATAGAACGGGGCCATATCTATATAAAAAAATATATTTTTATTTTTCATTTCGAAACAAAAATTGCACCAAGAACTGATAATCAATTGTTAAAGAATTAATAAATTGATCATAACAGTGAATAGCGGAGGTTATGTTTTGAGCAATGACAGATGACGTATAAAGTGATCGAAGTAAAAAGAAAGGAAATGACAAGATCGTTTGTCTTGAACGAATTAAGTTACGTTATCGAAAATCGCGTCGTATCTTTTCGAAATAACGCGATGAAACAACGAGAGAAAAAGATGCAGTCTCACTGTCGGCTTTGATGGCATCCAGGAGTTTGGTCTTCAGATGGGCGTCATCCGCGTGCTCGCGGAGACCCAGCAGGAACTTCGTCTGCGCCAACTCGAGATTTGGGTTCTTCTCCAGACCCTCCTCCTCCAGATTCTCCAGCGGCATTGTGAATTATTCGACAGAAACCGACGCCCGTGACGAGTCTCTCCTTTTTAGGTTAAGAAGCTCCGTGACGCGGACCGCGACTATCGCGAGAGATACTCCACGTTCCAATTTGGAGGCTATGTAATTCGGAGTGTTTTCCGAGAGATGGCGCCACCGTGTCAATTTCACGGCCGAGCGGCACACTTTCAGTTCGCGACGTCCCGAGAGATGGCGTCATTATATATCTTCAGCCATTGGAGCCATTCGCCCGTGTGGTCTTCAATTCTCGCTAGTCATTCTCTCTCTCGACAGTAAAATATCTGTACAATTAGGTATTTCGAGTTGATAGAGGAGATTTTGTATGCAACGCACATGGTATACTCTTTTCCACTTTTTAATATGCTTTCAGAAGTCCGCAGAGTAATTCTATAGATTGATACTATATAGTCAGATAATGTAGAGAATTTAATTAGATTAAATTGAAGTAATTAAAACTACTTGAAAGGCTTAATTGAGGTGTCTGCAGCTCAGAAACATGTAGACTCTCGAATTAAACATTTCTATCTACTTTCGCAAGAGTCCGGACTTCGAATCTTATGTAACACACTAGATCTTTCATTACAGGCACACAGCTAACACAAGGCGGAGGGAGTGGTTAAATGACAACGTAAGTACTCCGTTTTAATTTAACGAATCAATTTATTTATTTATTTTTCTGACACATACTGCCATTGACTGAGGCAAGATGAGCCTAGAGAAAGAGAAATATATATATCTGTCTCCATAGGATTCGCTTAGTATTTAAAAACACGAAGAATATCTCTCGCGGCGAGAGACGCATTTTCGTTTGTTTCGTTTGTTGTGTATAGCTCAGGTTTCACGTCTCTCGTTCGTTCATTTCTTTTTTTTTAATCCGAAATTCTTTTCTCCCGAGACGATTACTTGCTTTCGTCCGTGTTTTCCGCTTATCTCTCTTCACAATGATAACAGCTAGTGGAATCGGATTGACTTCTCTAACTTCCACGATCTCCGTACGTCGTAAGAAGTGAACAGCTGATTCGAGGCTCGAGCGTGGCCGACCTGACGAGCTTGATTGCTGATCTCTAGTTTTTGTTGCGAATTTGATTTCGCGATAATTCGCGAAATCGAAACATGAAAACGGAGGAGAGGTTTTCGATCGATCTCCCAAAATCGAGTACACGGCTACTGTGGAATAAAGACCTTTACGTCTCGCGCGGTCAAGGGTAACGATCGTGCCGGCCTCGCAAAACAATAATCATCACCGTATCCTAATTCCTCTTTCTAGTTTTTTTTGTCCTTAAAACGCAATTCACATCACGTCAAATTATTAGACATGTGTGAATATGTCTAATAATTTGAGAATTCACAGGTGATCCTTCAATAATAAACGCGCACATCAACTGTACGTGCCCTTTAAATGACGTTGACTATTATTGCTAGAATTCTAGGTAATTAGCTCATTAAAACGTTAGCTTAAACCTCGTTAGAAGATGACGGGCGATCGGATATCGGATTTTTGCCACGATTTCGCTTGATTACGATCCGGATGAAAAAAATTCTTTTCGCGAGCTAATGACTTTTGGAAACGTCCTCTTCTTCCCTTATCTACTTTCGATCGATATATATATACATGCATGCATGTGACTAAAAAAAAAAATTTCATTTTTATAAAAAAAAAAAAAGATCAGCCTACACGCAGATATTTGTAGCGTTGATCAAGTATTTAGACCTCCGAATATCCCGCAGCGTCATTAAAATCATCATTACGCTCCTTCGTATAACACAGATTTTGCTATAAAAAGGCCGTATGCGACTTTGCACCAAGGGATAGAGAGACCGTAAACGCGATGTTCCCCGACGACTTGAGCGTCGAGTGCCGCTACATTTTTTTTTTTTTTTCGTAGTCGTCCGAGAAAGAAGAACATTTTACGACGGGTAAAGAATACACCATTCCCTTTCGGTGTTATATCAGTAATGTATTTTGTAACAATTCATTTTTCACATAAAATATCGTAGTAGTACGAGCAGAGACATACAGATTTACATATTGCGGGATACTCGGGTATCCACTGAGCACCCAATGTAACGTCCGTCTGGAGATCTGCGTGGGCTTCGTTAGGATCGGGCGGCAAGGGAGCAAGGAGAGGATTCTTCTTCTTCTTTTTTTTATTATTATTATTTCCTTTCTTTCGAAGCTGCTGCGTCGTCCGGTCTCGACGAGCTTTATCCGCGTCACCCTTCCTTATCCCGCGATATTTCGTAGGAGCGATGAATAATTCGAGAAGTACATGTCGTTAATTCAGATACAGAACACATCTCGATTGCCCGAGCGATCGCGACCCGATCGGCGACAGGAGGACACGGCCACAGAGCGGTTATCCGCGATACGGGATCAGGCCGATCGTTCGAACGCACACGTAGATACACCATTACGTTTAATTAGTAAGGTAGAATAATAGAGGTTCGAAGCGATTAAAAAATATGTCGGAGGCCGGCAAAAGTCTCCCCCGGCCCAAGCTCTCTTACTCGCTTTTTTACTTAACTCCTGTCGGATTTTTGCCACTTTTTTTCCATTTTTTCTTTTTTGCTTTGTTTTATTCGACACGTTCAACAGCGAATCCACACTTTTATATATCTGTATAATATATATTTATACTTAATAGTAAAGTCCTTAATATAGCGATCAATTTACAATCAGTTAGTTAATTTGATTAATCGAAGAGTCAATTAATTAATTAGTAAGTGCGATGGTTGGATGCGCCGGTCGGCGTCCGACCGGCCAAGAGTTACGTGTATTATAATCCTCATCATCTTTTCGATTGCGATGAACGTTGCTGCGCGACTAAACACACCGATGACATCTATTATTCTTGGCCGCCGTCCGGAAATCGGATTGGATTTCTGAAAAACATCTACTACAATAAACTTCGATCGTATGTACTCGTGACTCGCGATCGTGTCTGTATGTGTGCCTGTGTGTGCATGTGTGTGCGTGTGTGTGTGTGTGTGCGTGCGTGTGTGCGTGTGTGTGTGCTTGTTTGTATATCTGTATGTGTGTATGTGTATGTGTGTGTGTTTGAGGCCGATGATGGAACGAAAGAAACATCTATAATATAGACATCAGTTATTATATCAACGATTCTCATCTATACCCTGTGCATCATCTTAAATGTCTCGACACATCCTAGGTGATTTCACCCGAGATAAATGTTGCTCGCCTTATCCTTACATATAGTCAATATATAATATTTATAGTTTATATTTATATATAATATCTATATATATATATTTATATATTTATATATTTATATCTGTATATATATTTATAATCATGCCAGATGCGTCACTTTACAGCGTCGGTCAGCGACAAAGGAGGATGCCGATTAATGCCAGCTATAAATATCTATTACGACTGCGTGTAAGTTTGCGTATTGTACGTATGCATGTGTGTATGTATGTATGTATGTGTGTGTGTGTGTGTCTGTGTGTGTGTGTGTATGGGGTGCGTGAGTGCGTGTGTATGCGTGTAACGTCTGTTCGTTTTCATATAATCGTGTATTAATATATAGTGACTTTCGGCAAAATGCGAAAACGCATAACAGAATATAATCAACGAGACAACGTAACGCGATTATTATGTTAATAACGACAGTAACGTATGTAACTCCACAGCGATATCGAGACTGTTAACGATAAATAATATAGTCAGAGTTGCAACGAGAAAACTGGCGAAATGGCTGGTACGTGTTGCGGGCGCGAGGTACAGATACGAAAAGTGGATGGCGCGACGATGACGAACAAAGTACACACACGAAACAGTCTCTCTCCCTACTTCTCTGCCTTCTCACGCGTTTCTAATAGGTGTATAATTCTTATACATCTCCTTATACGTTAAAAAGTAAGCTCGGCATCCGGTCGCGCGGGCGCGATCTCTTACCCCGAGGTTCAAGTCGTAAATTCGGTCGATCGGTGTCAGGCGAATTCCGTCCCGCGCGCGCGAGTTGCAAGGCCGGTTCTATTAACATCGATTAACATCAACCTTAGTTTAATCGATTTTCTGTCTCCTTCTAGTCCCAGTTCCCAGAGAGAAAGGAGAATAAATAAGTTATTTCCCGGTTCTCCCTGGGCGACGCGAGTCGAACGGTCGCGCGAATAAATATATCCCGAAATTTGGAATTTTTAATAGCAGGAAATATCCCAAAGTCTCGAAATATTAATTCGGAAACGACGAACAGCACTTGAGTTGGCATTTAACCGCTTAAGTTACCGTTACATCTACAATTTAAACGGTATCTCTCATGTAAAATTGACTCTATATCCGATTTCGGGAGGAAACGAATACAAAGGAAAAACTTTTAATCGATACTTTCATAGTAACATCGTTACTTTCCTTCTGAACGTCGCGACGTTCGACGTTCAGAAACAGTTTTGCCAGAGAAGGTAGACGAGTATAGAAGCATGGATCTATATAATATCGGAATATATCACGAGCTGGGGTACCGAGATTCTTAGTAGGTATCCCAGTTAATTTTATTAATATTATTATTAATAAAATTAATAAAATTAAAATTAAAAAATAAAAAAAATTTTATTAATTTTATTATTATTTCATTCTTTTATTAATTTTCGTGTATCACACTAATATAACGTGCATCCGTGCTTCTTATACACTCGTCTATCTTCTTTGGTTTTGTCCGGGCAAGGATTAAACTATGGTTAAATTTGACCAACGTTATTGACGAAAGTGGCCGCGCCACGTTTCGATCGAAGATGCATCGACGCAATCGGGCTTGATCTTCCCCTTGCTATGTGCAGTAACCTTAACGATACAATGACGATAACAATTAATATTTACTTTGTTAGCAAAAACGAAAGCTCACGCGCTCGGCGAGAGCGAGAGCGACGCCTAAATTCGGTGACATTTCTCCTACACGCTCCCGTCTCTCGTTAGAGCGCTCGACGAGGAAATGCGATTTCCGCTGGGGATAACGAAAGCGAAAATTGGAAAATGTTTTGTCAAAAATTATTTTATCCACAGCACTCTGATGCGTGCGGGCAAGAAAGGTAACAAACGAAAGAAATGATGACTTATCTTTTATTCGGGTTTAATAAGAAACATCCGTTCGCGCAAAAATGCGGATTCGCGCGTTCAAAATCAATGATGCTCCGAGCGCAAAGATATCTAATCGATCGAACGCGTTCTTGATTTCTCTTACTTATCTTAATATTGTCCAAGAAGTCGACTATTTACGTGACACGACGCACGTAACGTTATTTCTTAAAAGTCATATTTACGTGACTTTTTAACTACTCCGCTTTCGACATCACGAATGATCGAAGATTTCACTGGCTCTTGACAAAAGAAATTCGCCAAGAGAAATTCGACGGTGCACCGAGCCGAGCTTAATTGAATTGAAAATTTCAAGTTCACGAGGAATTTCACTTGATAGATTTCGCTCGGTTGTGCCATAATGAAATATTCGTTGCTGGTACAGCAAATTAGTCTAAGCGTTAAATATGATAAAAGGAACGTGAAAAAGCATCGAATCGAATCGAAGTTACGAGAAACCCGATTGTGAAATTATATTTTTACGTATCCTCTCACGTTTCCACGAGTCCGTGCTTGTCGTCGTGTCGCGTAAAACGAGGCAAACAGTCGACTTCTTGGACAATATTGAGATAACAATTCCGATGACATGAAAATGCGTTTCGCGATCTCTAAAGTAACGTTCGACGCGTTAATTAATCAAGTACATAACGCAGTAATAACAACAATACAACAGGCTAACAATAATATAAGACGATAATGCAATGCATAAACACGATAAGTAAATGGTGTTGTTATTCCAATCGTAGCGCATTTTTCACCGAAACAAAACCGAATGTAAATTTCGATTAATTCTGTTCCCGACAGATATGGAGATAAATCTACTTTGGGTTTAGCTTATTGCACTCTCATTTTTCACAAATGATATTACGTAATATCTATATGTCATATTATCTTTCGCATATTGTATAGAAAATGAGTTTTATCGAAAAATCATTAAATGATAAAAAATTTGTCAGCTAATAATAAGATGAATGAACGTCCATTCGACGTCCATTCGATTGTCATCATAATTATTCTTATGTTGGTCATTCAATTAATTATAGATCAATTTTTCTTAGCATAACGGTATTCTAACATCGAGTACACAGAATGTGTATATAATACTTTGTTTTTCCGATTTTGCGTCAATGCTATTATATTAGAGAATTGTTTGAAAGACAATAGAAACCTTATAGAAAGATATCGCAACTGCTGAATTGCGAAGTCAAAGATAACAAAAAGTTATCAAGTAATATTTTGTATATTTTAAAGCTTTAGTATTTTTTTTTTTAATATATTTAAATTCAATTTTAAAAGTGTATGCAATAAAATTATTTTTTTCAATAAAAAAAAATAGATTATTATTCGATATCAAACATTTATCGACTCAGTGACGATTTGAATCTTTTCTGACTAAAATGCTTATTGCACACAGTCAATTATAAAAATTTATCAATAATTATATCAATATAAAGAGCCCCATCGATACAATTATTGATATAGTCAAATAATCAATATCAATAATTATATCAATATAAAAAGCCATTTGATATAATTACTGATATAGTCAAATAATCAACAAAATAAGCTATCTCCATTTCTGGTCGGGAAGGTAAACTCATCGAAAATTACATTCGTTTCGATAACCGGTAATTTTTCGTGTTCTACTTCATAGATGCGTCGTTTCTTACTGACTTTCGAGAATAGCAATTTACACAATTTGCAATTTGCAAGTTGGGATATATGCGTGCTTTTATATATCCCACTTGCAAACGTGAATGCTCTTCGAAACACGAAAACGTGGAAATATGATTTCGGTGATTGTAGCTCGTATAACTATTAGCGCAATATATCAGTGCGACGATCGATATCTCCTGATCGATGTATAAAGGAGAAGAGTAGCGGCAATTACATTGTGCTCGGCCGACCTCGGCTACGTCGGCCGAATTCGTAATCGCGATCTATTCGGCATTAAGGTCATTTAATCGTTATGGTTATCGGAATGCGTGCCCGTGTAAGTGTGTTTTAGCGATCGGATCGGTACAGAATGCGATCGGCGAACCTGATCTACCCGAGGCTTACGTTTCTCGTTCGTTGCGTGCGCGTATAGTCGCGTTTCATGAGCGGCTTTCCTGTTCCCGAGCCGCGCGCCCGTAATTACTCACGGCGTAATCACATATCGAGAGCGTGATAAAAGAAAAATAGAGAGTGGCGCGGCGACGAGTAGTACGAAGAAGTGCGGGATGCAAAGTGAAAGGAGGAGAGAGAGGGCGGAGGGCTGTTGAAACGAAAGACCGACGAGTCGCGTAGGGTGCCCCAAAATTGACGCAATAAAGACGCAATGTAGCGTGCACGGCCTCGAGGGCGTCTTCATTTTCGCACAATTTTACAACCTCGATTTCAATTCAATGTTTCAGGAACTAAGCTTCAGATTCTTAAAGTAGTGTCCATCACAAATCAAATGCATCACACACCGTACATATCTAATGATAATTCGGCTAATTAGTTCATTATTGCTATCAGAGTTTCTCGATGTTTCTCGGTGAGGGAAAGAAAAATGTACATATCCATATTCCGTCAATTTTGGGACTTCCTTTGTACGTAAAACCGACTTGAGCATAGGAGGGAGAAAAAGAGGAAATAGAGTGTACCGTGCAGCGGCAAATGGGTCGATGATTGCAGGCAAAAGATTGCGCGCAGATTGCAAGTAGCATCTCGCGGTGGGGGTGATGGTTCGCGGAGGGCGATTTAAAGAGGGAAAGTGATGATTCGGGAAGAGGGGAGGAGGGGGACGACGCGCGACGGTGCGACCCCGACACGTTTGAGAGCCGTGTCTTAAAAGACGTGTGTAAAAATACGTAGAAAAGATAAACGCGGCGGATACGTGCGTCGCTCGCGCGCGCGCACAGGAGGCGATCGGCAGGAGGCGGTGGAGAGGATTGGGGATGCAGGGAAGAGAGAGAGAGAAAGAGAGAGAGAGAGAGAGAGAGAGAGAGGATTATTGGGGGCTGGTGGTGGGTCGGCGAACGGTATCTCACATCGATTATCATACACCGTCGTAGGAGAGGTCGACCGGCGGTCTGTGATGCGACGGTGCGAGGTAGGACGGCGGCGTGGTGGCGGTGCCGGACGCCGCGCCAGCCGTGCCGACGTAGCCGGGGTAATTGGCGCTGGGCGCGTGTATGCCCGCCGGTGGCGCCGGGTAAGCGTCGAACGAGCTTGAGTACGAACCGTTGTACGGGTACGGGTTGGCCGCCATCGGGTGGCCGAGGGCGGCGGATGGGTGCATGCTACTCATGCCGCTCATCCCGCCGATTCCCGCGTATGTACGCTGCATCAGGCTAGATTCGAGGCCGCCGAAGAGATAGCCGTTGGTCGAGCCCATCGGCACCGGGTAGTGGCCGGGTATGATGTTAGGGTACGAGTTACCAGGGTGGCCGTGATTCATGCTGGGGGTGTAGTTACTCGATGCGAGATTCTCCACCGTGTAGGACTTGCTGTGCTGCTGCTGCTGCTGTTGCTGCTGCTGTTGCTGCTGCTGTTGATGCTGCTGCTGCTGCTGCTGCTGCTGCTGAGAGTCCTGATGATGGCGGCTGTTCATGCCGTATAAACCTCCGTAGCCCGCGTCAGTGGGAGAGTGGTGCAGCGAGGAGGGATAGATACCGCTACCCGGTGGCAACGGTGGACTGTAATTGGTCATTCCAACTGGTCCGGTCGGCATACCACCGAAGCCGGACATGTACGACTGATGGTGGGCGTCCATCTTTTCCGCCAGGGTATCGTCGCCCGGCATACCCGGATGCGAATGCTGCAGACGTTGGCTACCGCCGTCGGCTATGCTCGGGATCTGGTCCACGAGGGATTCTAGGTCGCTCAGACTTTTAGACGCCACGTCCTGGCTGGCGTTCCTCTTGATACCGTACTGCTCGTGCGGATGGTGCGGCGACATGTGGGTGGGCGTGTGCGGATGCGGCGGCGTCGGATGCGAGTGATGGGAGTGCTCCTCGGTCTGGCTGAGGGGCGTCGGTGTCGTTTGATGCGGATGCGGATTGTGCGCGTCCGGCGGTTGCTCGTGATAGCCCATGTAGTTGGCGTAGCTGTTATGGGACGGCGTGCCGGGGCTGCCATGGTGGCCCGTCGGATCGGGACCCCCGGCCGGATTGTACTGACGATGGTCATTGCCCATATTCTGCTGCGACATGCTGGTGGGCGGCTCAAAGTCCGGATGCTCGACGCTAGGCGACGTCAAAGGCGACGGCTCGAGATTGTTCTCCGACGAGATTGCGGTATTGATTTCCGACGACAGGTCCGAGTGCGTAAAGGACAGCGACATGGACTTGGGGCTCTGGCTGTAGTGCGGCTGCTGCAGGTGCACCGGGCTCTGCTTTGAGCTCATGTACGGGCTATTGTCGTTCATGCCTTGGCCGAAGAACCCGTCGTTCATCGGCTGCGAGTACGGCGCCATATGCGGAAACTTTGGCGGTGACATCAGCGGCGGTGAAAAGCAGTTCGACACGTTGCCGTAACCGTCGTTCAAGTGGCCCATCACCTGATGCTGCTGCTGCTGTTGCTGCTCCCTCTCGCGTGTCTCCCGCTCCAGCTGCTTCTGCTGCTGATGGATCTTCTTCGGGCGACCGCGGCGCTTCTTGATAACCTCGCCGTTCGCGTCCAGCTTCTCGGGATCCGGCGGCGGCTGATCCTCCGGATTTTTTATCTTTTTCGGCCTGCCGCGTTTCTTCTTGCCGGGTATCACGCCCGTCTCCTGCTTAATCCCCATGCCGTTGATCTCCGTGATTCGGCTCTCACCGTCGGGCAAATCGTCGGTGAACACTGGCTTCTTATCCTCAATCGGCTCGTGATCCTTCTTCTTGAGCTTCGAATCCGCGAACACGATGTCGGACTCGTCCAAGTGCGTGATCGTACCGTTTAGGTAGTCGCGGAATTTCTTCAGGGCAGCGTAATATGGCACCTTGTCAGCAGCACGTGGTAGTTGCGCACACCTCGCACTGCTTGAGGGCATAACCCACATATACTGCAACACAACATCGACAAGTGAGAATTTTGTTCTTGTGCCTGGATTATTAATATTAAATATTAAAATAACTTCGTTGAGTTCAAATGAAACATATCCAAAATATCGCGAAAGTGATATTTTGGTTTATATGTGACGACGTTAAACTTACATTCTCACAGAACTCACTGAAATTATATCGGTTCTAATATTCCGGGCAACACAAAAAGCGAGTATCGTAAAAATGCACGTTCGAATATTTTAGAATTTCTTTAAATATCTTTTTTTTTCAGGCAACCCTTGAATTTTGTGTTTCTCGGGATATTGATTAAGAAATAATGTAACAGTTATCTTACCGTGTTAGTACCGTCGACGAGGTTGGGTTGTCTGCCGAAGCCGAACTCCTTCTTTCCCGAGAATACTTCGTATATGAGTTTGCCGTTGAATACAGCAATTTTTGGCTTATACTTTCGTAATTTTTCGAGCAAAATGTGACTGCCTGCAAAATAAAAACCACGATTACCACTTGATCCTTTTATTCTCATATTCACATCACAAGTGAATACATTTTACAATTTTGATATTGATTTATCCACATCGTGTATGAAAAGCAACTAATTAAGTATCCTATTAAGTATCCTATTTGGCGATCGACTGATCGTAAATAAATAGCACTTGCTTTCTCTCTTTTTTTTTTCTCTCTCTCTCTCTCTCTCTTTTTTCTCCCGATATTCCCTTTTGCCCCTTTAACATATTTTAAAAAACTTAAAAGCAGATTCAATCAAATCCAAATTTTATGCACGCATAGTCGCAGCATTCACGCTTGCCTATAATTACCCTAACTTATAAATATAGACATTATTGCATAAAGTCATTGATCACGCTTGTCGCTCCTCTTTTTCCCTGACGTTCATTCGTGAGTGCTATTTTTACGTCGTGCAATTTACCTATTCTATATATTTTCGTAAAAGAGAGAGAAAGAGAGAGGGAGAAGAGGGGGGGGGGGAAGGGAGAGATTATCGAGAAGCGCTAGATAAAAGGTGCAATAATATAACAACTAAAGACAGATTCTCTATTTTACGAAGGGCATATAATAATCGTGAATAAAACGATAAACGCAAAGTGAATAAAACGATTTCTGCGCGGTGTAATCGACGTTAGGTACAGATGCGAGCTGTGTAACTGTCTCAATTGCAGGAATTAAATCATTCATTGAAAGGAATCGTGCGATTACTCGAAATTCTCTCGCAGTCTAAAAATTTTCGCTTAGCATCGATTTTCGCGCGATCGCGTCGCTCAACAGGGCCACCACTACATTCGCGCCCTTCTCCGTATCTTTTCCAAATACATACATGCACACACAGTGTCGCACACGCGCGCGCCGGCTTAACGCGATACGCGCGCGTCGCGCGATAACCTTAAATGCGTGGCCGGGCGGCGACCAGCCGCAACCGACTAAATCTCGTTCGAAGCGGTGAATAAAGTGTTCGACCGCCACTCCGCTTTTATACTTCCGTCTTCATTAATTTATCGGCTACTTTATTTCAGTGGAGGACGACACGTTCTATGTTCCGCCGGACGAATCTGCTGCGGAAAAAGGCGAGAGAGAAAGAGAGAGAGAGAGAGAGAGAGAGAGAGAGACGGCAATTTTAGCGCAGGGACGTCGCGAGTGAGTAGTTTATTGGCTATTAATTATTACCGCTCTCGCCCGCTCCTAATGAATAATACGGCGCGCCCTTTCCGGAGCGAAGTTTAAAGCGGATCGCGTTATCGCTCTCGCGTGCGAATCGCGAGGAAAAAAATTAAGCGCCTAAACGGGAAGGAGAGGCGCTTAAATTAAGACACGCGACGACGTTTCGAAATCAAGTCGTTTTTAATTGCCCTCGTTTCTGTCCCGCGAAGAATTTCTGAGTCGATCTGCTATTTTAATGACCGTCGCACTCCAGCTTATGCTATCTCGTATTCCGCCGCGACAATCGAAAAAACGGAGCGCGGCGCCTCTCTAATGACAGTATATAGGGCGACACTTTCGTATAAAGTCGGAGGGGTCTACACCGCTTTCGGCACGGGGCGATGCGATGCCGGCGTATTGCGATATGCCTTTAAGAGCGAGAGCGAGCGAGCGCCCGATAAAAGTTGGGTTGGCAGTACTGCCGCTTCCCGCGTCGCGTACACGCATGGCCGCTATGTCCGAGTGATCCGGTCCGGCTAAAAAACGTCTCGGCATAGCGTTTTCTTCGGGATGGAGGAGGCGAGGATCGGCGATACGTGCGGACGTGAGTGCGTCGACACGACGGGATGGAGCGCGACGTCCGTCGAGGTGGACCGGCCGCCGCACGGGGACACGGACGATCCGCAGTACGACGGTGAGCATCACCCTTCGATCCACGATCCACACGCGCTTTTCTCTCGGCGCCTCTTGCCCGGCGTGCTGCGCCGTGCGTAACGGGCCGGCGCGGGCCAGGTCTGCGATTGTGACAAATGGCGCCGATGGAACTTTTTCGCCGCGACACACCGGCTACTCCGGATGAATGCCGGGTCGACAGTCAAAAGTATATCGGGCGTCCCCTACGAGGGGAGAGAGATCGATCGAGATGGTCGAGGAGTGCGTTTCGTTGGCGGGGCGAGACGTGTCGTGCCCCGCGCACACGGCAGCGGCGCGCCGTCCGGATTTCGGTGGAAAATCGGGGAAAACGTTTTTCCGTCCACGCGGCCGGGGCACGCCACGGAAAAGCGATCGGGGAACACGTATACTCCGGAAAGAAACATGGAGTCGCTCGGCGACGACTCCGCGGGTCTCGCGCCTACGTTCTAACCTGTTGGCGCGACCGGCCCTTATCTCGTTAGCATTGTTATGTTTATTTTTATCTGCCTGTACCGCGCTTTTTTTTTTTTTTTTTTTACCGCTTTGCTTTTCCTGTCTCACGCGGATATCTCACCGGATATACTCCCGGCGGTGCGACGGCAAAGTCGGAATCGAATAAGTCGGATCGCGAAGAATTGTTTAAACCGCGAATTTTGTAAATTCGATTAAACGAAACGACCGTTGGTGGAGCGAGAATCGAGTGGGTTATCCCCCTCCCCCCCTCCCCTCTCTCCCCCGTCGGAGGAAAAATCAATTTTTTTAAAGTTTCAAAAACCGGTTCTTAAAGCACCGTGTGAAACGCCCTGTACACGCGATAGAGCCCCACTATTTAGGCGTGCTTATGAATGGGAGTAAAACGATCCACGTCGATACGCCGAAAGTTCCTTTACTCCGCGGCACCGCGTCTATTAAATTCGGCGTTAATGAGAGAGAGAGAAAGAGAGAGAGAGAGGGGGGGGAGAGGGACGGCCGTTTCTCTCCTCAGAATGAGAGAGAGAGAGAACGCGCGCACATGGTCACCCGGAAAACATGTGACCGTGCACGTGGCCACGTGAATCAAGATGCGTCTTATTTCCGGCGTAAGTTCCGCAAAGTTCGAGAAATTTCGCGTTCATCCGTTTGTGTATGGACCTCGGTATGCACTCGACGCGATCCTGTTTCACCGCTCTCGAGGCGTATTCAAAGCGAAGCGCACCGAAAATCCGTGCGCGAAGGGCGATCCGTGCGAGCACGGAATAAATAAACCGGAGCGAAGTCCAAAGTTACACTGCGAACGCACGTTGCACTACTCAGAGAAGAGGGGAAAAAAAAAGCACTCGTTTCTTGATATCCACTCCGATAATCCACACTGGGCTCACACACGTATATATACTTACGTCACGAACGCCTACTTCTAATCCATGGTTCACATGTCGCGATCGCATGTGCGTCTCTATCGTCGAGAGCTCACACGATGTTTATCTTCACGGTTTCAAAGTCGAAGTCGGACTAATTTCTACCGAACTAAGGATCCGAGGATCCGATAAACCCCCTACCCCAGTCCCTATACCTATGCTACCTAAGGACACCGTAAGGACACTAGCCCCTCTTAAAAGAACTTAAGCGAAATAACAAAGAGAGCGCCACGTCACGTGAAGGATTTATGGATTCCACAAGTGCCACATGGCCGTAGCGTGCAAATAGAAGCAGGCCCGTCGTCGGTTTGAACGGGTAAGCAGAATCGGCCAATCGGCATATGGCAATCGAGACATACCTACTCGAGTAAGTAGCGAATCGAGTCAGAGATTCAAGCTTACCGTTCAAATTACGTTACTTTTTTTCGAATTTCATTAGTTTTCTCGGTTGCCTGTAAAACAGCGACACGACGAAATCTTATCAGTTCGTAGAACTGTGTGTGCTTTATAAACGCAGCGTTCTTTCTCACTTCTCGGTTTTCGAATTCTCGAGACTATAACGGGCGTTACTTAGACCGGCTGTCCTTGACATTTCTTTTCTACACAGTCACATAAATATTACAGTTCAAGCAAACCATTATTTCTTTGTTCTTCTAATTTTCCTGAAAGATCTTCACTTTCTTTTGTAATGTATCGAAGAAATCGACATAAAGCGACTAAATATCTGTGAGAAGTAGTGTCACTTCCGTATACCATTAATTTTATTGCAAAAACTTTCTTCACATTTTAAGTATATTTTAATTCCGGCATGTCTCAAATCCCGACTATATCGAAACTGTAGGGCTCAAATTCGTAAATATTAATCGGAGCGAGATATATATATATATATATATATATATATATATATATACTATATATTTCGCTTTTTTACATAATAAAATATAAACAGCGACGAAATATTGTATAATATGAACATAATACAAAATTCAAATTAATTTTCCCGCAAATTATGTCGGAGGCGATATCAGCTTATGCAATCATTATTTTCGACCGAGATTTTCGACGAGAATTATCTCATCGCTCGTTTCAGACGTACTAAAAGCTAAAAAAATACCAGGCAGAAACGCATACTGACCTTCTTTAATTTCCTTTCTTGTAAGATCCGCACTGCCTTTCGTCGCACGTGCTACCATATTTGTAAAGCCGATGCCGAGTCGTAAAAGCTTGTAATCGTCGTCCGCAGTCAATGGTTCGGGCGTGAGACCACTCAGATGTAGGCATTTCCCTGAAAAGAGGCGGTACAAATGAAAACAATTGCTTAGCTGCATAAATTAATAGTAAGGAACTTAATGGTCGCAACCTCGCGATCGTAATGAACTTCATTACCCCGGGTAGTGAAGTATTAATTTGCGAATCGAGCCTGACCTACTAATTTTAAGATCCACAAGAGAAATTAGACTTACTTACAAATTAAATGCCCGATAAATTATTAAATTTCAAACGTTTTTCCTTGCATTTTTCACGTCTCGCAGTAATTGTAGTTGCGAGGAGAGAGGAAAAAAAAAAGGAAAATGAAATTATTATCATGTACAGTGGTGCATGTTACACGCATCGCCGAAACGCACGGGCGGCTTTTAAAAATTTTAATGAAATCGACGTCCCGTGATATTATGCGATCCATTTTTAATTTTAATTGCATAACGTTAAGCATTAAATTGCTTACTTGCGGCGCCATTATAACGAAACGTATAATTGCAGTCGTCGCGTGAACGGCCAAATGACTTCGCAAAGCTATTGTTCCGCGCGAAATACTCCGTATTTTGTTAATAGGCCGCGCTCGACTATTTATATCCCATTAAATAAACGATCTAAATTTTCTGATAGGCATAATAAAGCCTCGCCCCGGCGGAGGCTTTCGCGCGGAGATAATGGAATTGTTAGAACAGAAGCGCGCAGCGTGTCTATTGTAATAGAAATGACAACCATTGTTGTTTCCATTGTCGATGCTACCGCGCTGGTATCGTTTTGCCCGGATTATACTAAAATCATCGTCGTGAATTTTATCATTGAAGTTTATTACACACTTGAGACATATTTTAATCCGATAACGACGAGAAATAACGAGATCTTTTTTTCCCCCTAATTACAACTTACTGAAAGTCTTTAGGTTTAAAACAATTTAAACAACAATTTAAAAGCTTAATTTTGTTCGTCGTTTTCCTAAATAATTCATTCAATTGTCAAATCAATTATACGAGGGAGCATTTCTAAGCATTCTCAGTTTTAATAAAATTATTGGTATTCTATTATTAAATTTATTATTATTACTAATAGCGCGATAAAATCCGACGACTCCATTTTAGGATATCGAAAGATCACTTATTCTTGTTTTAATGCGGATATGAATGTACACGTAGAGAGAGATTGATAGATAGTTAGATAGATAGAGAAGAGAGACAGAGAGATTGAGAGAGAGAGAGAGAGAGAGAGAGAGAACTATTTCATGAAGATATATAAATTAATCTCGTGCAAGATGTACAAACGATTAGTGGTTGACCGCTTGAATGTTGCAACAACGACGAGCGTCAATTAGCGTCGCGAATCGCAAATTTCCATTGTATAAATAATAAATAGCGCGTATAAATAGCGTACAAACAGCGGTAAATCGTACGGACGACAATTCGTTCTAAATATTGACGTATGAATGCTTGGTAAACGTGCGCGATCGTTTATTTCGTATCGCGAAAAGCAAACACGGCGCTTAACGTAACGTATAAAAGGTATTCGCGCCGGTTTTCCCGTGGTTATGCAGATCGGCGGTGCGTGCGGAAAATTTAAACGTTCGTTTTTACGGCCGTACGAATGAGCAGCTAAGTGCTCGTTGTCAAGTAATCCCCCGGAGGGGGGATTTTGTTTTCGACGCTTCCGCGAAACTGCGTACCGCACAGTTATCGCAACAATTTAACGGCCAAATTTGTCGGCAGTTCAAATGTTACAAAGGATATAAAAGGATTAAACAGTTTCGGTCAGGCGTGGATCAATCGATATTTTTTTCTACTTTGCCACATAAAATTGGATGAAATTATGCGTTCGCCTTAAGTGCCATACTAGACTAGACTTCGTCCGTGCGATTAGAAATAATCGCTCGCCGCTTGTGGAGATTGATTTGACGACTAAAAATGAATTATTCACGCGCTGAAGTCTCACTTCGTTAATCCCTTGCCGCGTCACGCTTTGTCACAGTACAATATTGACTTGTGTTGTACTAATCGCGTATTATATTATAATTACCTCAAGGTGTTAGAGTTTTAACCCTAAGTAAAATCAAAATATTATGCAGAGATATATATTTTACGTCCACGGTAAAAGTAAAAATACGCGACTAAAAATTTTATTAGCAATTTAAATTTATCTTTTATTGTTTTTTATTAGCGAGGTATATTATGAAAAAAAAAACATCACGCAGAAAACCCTTTTTTATAACGGTCGAAAAAACCATATGCGGCCGTTTTAAAAGTTAGTTAACTTTTAAAACTATTTTAAAGAAGTTAATAAAAAGGCTCATAAATTAAAATACTTTTCCGCGTTTACGCGGCACATCGATAATAAATTTATTTACCCGAAAGCCACAACCGCTGAAGCAATAAGCACACCGCTCCTCGTCGTTTCGCGCGAAAGAAAAGAAAGTGGGGACCAGATAAATCTTTCGCCGCTCTCGGCGCGGTACAGGTACACGGGCACTCACACGTGTTCGCGCGCACGTCGGGGTGAGACAACATCCCGGTGGCGCGAAATTACAATCGTCGCCAAAGTCTATCCCGCGAACGTTTACCCCCAGGCAGCAGATAGAGATTTATGACGCGGCCTCGGGAAATTCTCTCTCCGCTGCGCTGCTTTACTCCAGTGGCACCGACCTACAACGGGCGCGCGCCGCGCCGGCACGACCTTGGAGAACTTCGGAACAAAGTTAAACGCTCGTCCGCGGCCGTTGCACGCTTTCCGGCACAACGTGCCCGACCTCCAAGTCCGCGGGAAAAGGCACGAACCGCGCACACGTGTGTGTAATGCCGGTTTCCACACTGCTGAAGTCGTGACTCGAGCGACGTCTTTTCGAGAATAATAAATTTATGCACAATTAGCATAAATCCTAGGATGTGGGTAAAGAAGAATTTTAAGGGACGCGTAAAATCCAATTGAGGCTGCATCTTTGAAGGAAAAAGTTTTGCCATCAGTTTCCGCGTCTTATTACCATACACTTTTTTCTCTTTGAGAGAAATCGCGATTTTTCTTTTTTTTTTTGGTTTGGTTTTTTTGTTGTGAAATGCTCACGCTATTGGCGGACAATGCTCGCGAACTTTAGTATGGACGTTGCTTAAAACTTTCCGCGGCGAAGGGGCCATAAGAAGGAGACTAACGGCCGATCGAACAAACTTTATCGGGGCGAAACGCGACCCTCCTCCGTCATTCACGACGCTAACCTAACCCAACTTGACTTCGCTCGACCTTCCCGCCTAGCCGGGTGCTTTATGGTGTTTCGAGCGAGGGTGTGAAAAGTGTGCTTCCCTCCCTCCCACCCTCCCGCGCGCCCCCGGTACGCCGATGGAAAGCAAATGCGCTCGTTCCCGCGTCGCGCCGCCGCGCCGGTCGGGTCGTCCCGATAAATTGTGACTCGTCTCTGATACGGACGTAATCGGGGGTGGAACTTGGAATTCGATCAACATGATTCCCGGGCGCGAGTCCTCTATTTTTTTTTTCAGGGTTGAGAAATTATGGTAATTTATGGGAAATTTGAGAATTTTTTCCGAGCGAGAAAAAACAACCAAAAAAAAAAACGCCGAACTTCTGTCGCGGACGTTCTTTATGAATTATATCTCCATGAAATAAATTCTGTCACTCAAACTGTTGTCGCGAAGTTGCTGCTGTTTTTAGATGCGTTTGCGACTAATACGATTTGGTGTATGATGCCGGCCGATTGGTAATACCGGGTAATATTGGTTTGATTTAATTTTTTTCAACATGAAAAAAATATTTGAAAGATATAAATTTTTAAAACATCTGATAATGCCGTTAAAAGTAGAAATAAAATACGGAAAGGTATACGTCATAAATATTAATATATCAATGCAAATATTTTTCTGTAATATGGAACCATTGTTTCCGCAAATAATTTACGTATATATTTTTACCGTAGCATATTTTTATTAATGGATATCTCTGAACCGTGCAACTTGATACATAATCGATGTGCAATATGTGAAATCTGAAGATAATATTTCCAATCTGCAAACCGAAAATATCCGAATAATTAATTTCAGTATGATCTCATTTAGTATCATAAATTAATCACATTACTGATATTCGCTGACAGTCATAGGAAATATTAGCAGCAATTCCGCATTAATCCTAACTCTCTCTCTCTCTCTCTCTCTCTCTCTCTCTCTCTCTCTCTCTAATTTCCTTTTGCATATCTATTTGTCGTATAACGATATAACGATCTTAAATATATCTTCCACGTTAGAGTCGAGAATAATCCTCTTTGACAGAGAAGAGAAACTCGGGGAAGAAATTTACAATTTTTAATTAGTTCTACCAAACAGAAGAGGATATTCGTCATGGGGAAATCCCATGAATGAGTTTTTGAAGATGTTCGCAACCAGGGACGTTTCTCAACGCGATTTTCCAAGGTCCATTATTTTGCGAAGAAACAGTCAAAACTCCGGGACCCCTGGATCGCGCCAACTTTCCGAACTTTCGAACTTGAAGGCCGTCACAATGTGTTCTCCTTAACGCGCGTTACAGAGAAATCCGTACGTCAGAGAGAACGCGCAACAGGATCTTACGTATCGCATTTTTCTTTACGTCCGTTCCCACTTCTTTCTCTCATTCTCTTCCGGCTACGGGAGGCGCGGCAAAGTAACGCTCACGGAGGGAAGAAATATCGCCCTTGATATTTTTCTAATGCGCGAGGACCCGACCCGCCTTCTTCATCTTCAGACAACGGTAACGATGCGCGAGGGAGCCGCGGGGATCTCGCGCTATCATTTAGCGCGAAATGTACAGTTTATTATCTAAATGGCCGCTAACTCGTTGCGCGGATCGCTCGCAGTCGTGTAAGATTTTCGTAATAGCGGTAAAAGAAAATTATCGCGACTCTTCCCTCGACCTTCGCCGTGCCTTCCATCGTCTCTTCCGGGTCTGTCGGAAATGGTTTTCGCTATAGATATCCATAACGCGAGTAATTAATAAAAAAAAAAATAATTCGTCTGCGAAGCGAAGTGAGACGAG